AATTAAAGGCCCTTTTAAATTAATTAATTAATTTATTTATTTATTTTATGTGTATCCATGTATTGCCTGCATGTGGATAAGTGCACCCGTGTCATGCAATGCCCTCAGAAGACAGAAGAGGCTGTTGGATCCCCTGGAACTGGAGTTACAGGCAGTTATTAGTTGCTGTGTGGGTGCTGGGATTCAAACCTGGGTCTTCTGCAAGAAAAGTCAGTGTTCTTAACCACTGAGCCGTCTCTCCAATCCCCCTAGTCAGATTTTTATTCAGTACAAAATTATGTGGTTTGGTGGTTAATGAATTATCTCTTAATCATATAAAATGAAATCATGAATTTTGGTGACGTGCTTCCTGCCCTTCCCCATTCCAGTCCTTTTCCCTCCCTCTTTTCTTCCTGAGATGGATGTTTTGCTGTGTTGCATAGGCTGACTTCGAGTCACATCTGTGACTATACACACATCAAGGTGACTGACTACATTGAGGTCTTTCTGAAGCACATGTCACCTTTATATTTTATTTGCATTTCACATTACCTGAAAAAATTTGTAAGTATTTTTTAAGAATCTTTAAATTCTACTGTGTCATATTTGTTATTTGATTAATATTGTGCTTAAGGAGCTGAAGAGATGGCTCAGTGGTAAAGAATAATGGCTGCTATTGCAGAGGACTTGGGTTCCATTCCCAAGACCCATATTACAGCAAACAATTGTTGGTAATTCCAGTTCCAGGGAATCCAATGCCTTCTTCTGACCTCCGAAGCCATTACACACACATGTGCAGTTACATACATGCAGGAAATCCACTCATATACATAAAATAAAAATAAGTATAATATTATTTTTGATTGTGCTTGAATAAACTTCTTGTAGCAGTGTATACATTATTTCTTCTGAAAGCACATAGAATGGGCTTTTTTTCCCACTTAACAAGTTGTGACAACATGTGTGTCTTTGGGGTCACAGGGAGTGATCCTTCATAGTTATCTCTTTAAATTTTGAATAGAATAATAGACTTTCAGAATGAGAACAATTCATAATGTGCCATAGGGTTTGTATAAATTATTTATGCAAGGTGATTTACCATTTATGTTCATGCCCATGCCATCTATACCAAATGTTAAATTTCCTCATGCTGTCTATACTTCAACATTGTGAGCAGTATTTGCTAAGGACATGCAGACTCTTGCATGCTAATTGCCCTGTTTCATACATCAGTTGGTCAAACTTTCTTAAGACAGGACGTAGAGATGGGGTAGAGCAGCAGCAACTCCTGTGCTCTGTGCACAGTAGTGAGAGGAGTGTCCCTCCAGTGCTCTTCTTTCCAAAGCACTCAAAGCTTGTATAAGAACTTCTGTGTCATGGAAGAAAATGTGTCGATAGCACAGAATTGGTTGAGCATTTGATCAAATGAGTTTATGGAATGTTTAGGATTCTGTGACATTTGAGGATGTTGCCATGAACTTCACTCAGGAAGAGTGGGCTTTGCTGGATCCTTCTCAGAAGACTCTCTACATTGATGTGATGCTGGAAACCTGCAGGAACCTCACTTTTATAGGTAAGAATATCATCCTCTCTTCCCTTAGGTTGCTAAGGAACAAGTTTCTTGGAGGTGATGCTCTTCTCTGCTTTGGAATATTGAAAGGGAAGAATGTGGTGTATAAATCAGGCATGGTTCATAGAGGCTAAAGCTACAAAGTAAGTTTTCAGTAACTTCTAATTCATCAAAATTTTCTTCAACTCCATTTTAGGAAACAATTGTGAAGATGAGGATGTTAAAGACCATTGTAAACATTCTGGAAAAAATCTAAGGTAACTTGAAAACATTCGAAGGAAATTTCCTTTGAAGAAATTTTGAAAGATGTCTGTTTATATTATTATTTTCTTGTGTTCGTGCTCATGTGTGTGTGTGTGTGTGTGTTTGTCTTTCAAACCTGTGTGCATGTGCTCAAGGACGTCTGAAGAAGTGCTCATGGAGCTGGAATTACAAGAGGTTATAGGCTACCTCTCTTGGGTGCTGGCAACCAAACTCTGGTTCTCTAGAAGAGCAGCAACTGTGCTTAACTGCTGAGCCTGCTCTCCAGCCTCCCATTAGTAGTATTTTTATGGGAGCATTTATGAATAAACAAACAGTAAGCACAACTTTTTTTTTTTTTAATCCTTAGAAAATGTAACATATACATCAATGTAAGAATCCTATTCAGTGTTTGCAGGGCATGTCACATGCAGACAGTATTAGGATCTCATGTTAACAAATGTCATTCTTTTTATCATGGCTCTGTGGGAATTACATTGTAGAATTATCTATCGACTTACTTTCCAACCATTCAGCCATGGCAGAAAACATACTTTACCTAATTTTGGGAAGAGTATGTAACCTACACTTTGTAATAAATAGCAGTAAATTCACATTTACTAATATAATTGTCATTTTCACAGAAGTTTCATGTTCGAGACGTTCTGTGAGCATAACAAAGATCTTCAGGATGGAGAGACTTTGACTTGGATAGCAAATGCCAATATGATCCTGAAAGTGTACAGTGACCTAACACCATGTGAAAGCAATGTGTATGGGAAGGTTTCCATGTGTCATCCACCCTTTAATAACCATCCTACCTCTTACTCTCAGTATAAATCTCATGAGCATGAGGAGTATGGAAACAAGCTGCAGAACTCTAATTCTCTCACAAGCTGTCAAAGACATATGAGAACTCACACTGTGAATGGACCTCTGGAACATAAGACATGTTTCAATCTTTTTGATCTCCAAAGTTTGTTGGTAATAGATCAGGAAACACACAGTGCAAAAACAGTACACCAATTCGAAGAATATAGAAAGGCCTCTGCTTGTGAGAGTTCACTTCACACATCTCGAGGAACTCAAACTGTCAGAAAGCATTATCAGTGTAATATATGTGGGAAAAAGCTGCGTTCTTCCATTTCTCTTCAAGGACATCAAAGAATTCATAGTGGTGAAAAACCCTATGTATGTAAACAATGTGGTAAGGCCTTTACATTTTCTACAAGCTTACAGTTTCATGAAAGAATGCATACTGGAGAAAAACCGTATGAATGTAAACAATGTGGTAAAGCCTTTAGATGTAACAGTCATCTTAAAAGTCATGAAAAAATACGTACTAGAGAAAAACCCTATTCATGTAAACAATGTGTTAAAACATTTAGAAATCACAGTCGTCGTCTTCAAAGCCATGAAAAAATGCATACTGAAGAGAAAACCTATACATGTAAAGAATGTGGTAAAGCCTTTACACAACACAAGTACCTTCGGGTACACGAAAAAATTCATAATGGAGAAAAACCATATGAATGTAAAGAATGTGATAAAGCCTTTAAATATAAAAGTTCTCTTCAGTTACATGAAAAACTTCATTCTGGAGAAAAACCATATGCATGTAAACAATGTGGTAAAGCCTTTAGATGTAGTAAGCATCTTCGAAGACATGAAAAAACACACACTGGAGAGAAACCCTATGCATGTAAACAATGTGGTAAAGCCTTTACACAACACAAGTACCTTCGGGTACACGAAAAAATTCATAATGGAGAAAAACCATCTGAATGTAAAGAATGTGATAAAGCCTTTAAATCTAAAAGTTCTCTTCAGTTACATGAAAAACTTCATACTGGAGAAAAACCATATGCATGTAAACTATGTGGTAAAGCCTTTACACAACACAAGTACCTTCGGGTACACGAAAAAATTCATAATGGAGAAAAACCATCTGAATGTAAAGAATGTGATAAAGCCTTTAAATCTAAAAGTTCTCTTCAGTTACATGAAAAACTTCATCCTGGAGAAAAACCATATGCATGTAAACTATGTGGTAAAGCCTTTACACAACACAAGTACCTTCGGGTACACGAAAAAATTCATAATGGAGAAAAACCATCTGAATGTAAAGAATGTGATAAAGCCTTTAAATATAAAAGTTCTCTTCGGTTACATGAAAGAAGACATAGTGGAGAAAAACTATATGCATGTAAACAATGTGGTAAAGCATTTATATGTAATAAGTATCTTCAACGTCATGAAAAAACACATACTGGAGAGAAACCTTATGAATGTAAACAATGTGGTAAAGCCTTTACCTGTCGCAGATATCTTCAGTTACATGAAAGAAGACATACTGGAGAAAAACCTTATGAATGTAAACAATGCGGTAAAGCCTTTAGCTGTCGCAGAAATCTTCAGTTACATGAAAGAAGACATACTGGAGAAAAACCTTATGAATGTAAACAATGTGGTAAAGCTTTTAGACGTCACAGTTATCTTCAGTTACATGAAAAAATTCATACTGGAGAAAAACCCTATGAATGTAAGCAATGTGGTAAAGCGTTTAGATGGCACAGTTACCTTCACTTCCATGAAAGAATTCATACTGGAGAAAAGCCATATGAGTGTAAGCAATGTGGTAAACCTTTTAGATGTCACAGGTACCTTCAGTTGCATGAAAAACTTCATACTGGAGAAAAACCATATGAATGTAAGCAATGTGGTAAAGCATTTAGATGGCACAGTTACCTTCAACTGCATGAAAAAATTCATACTGGAGAAAAACCGTATGAATGTAAGCAATGTGGTAAAGCCTTTAGACAGTCCAGTCACATTCATGTACATGGAAAAGTTCATACTGGAGAACAACCATATGAATAAATGATGTGGAAAAGCCTTTAGATATCACAGCTGTCTTCAGTTACATGAAAAAATTCATACTGGAGAAAAGACCTATGAATGTAAACAATGTGGTAAAGATGTCAGATATTACAGTAAGGTTCAAAGACATGAGAAGTTCATAACAAAGCCCTGTGAATAGAACAGTGTGGAAAAGCCTTTAGACATCACAGTCTTCTTTACATGAAAGAATTCATATTTTAGCAAACTTACGAATGCAAACAGGGTGGTAAGACCCTTAGATGTCATAGTTACCTTCCTTTATCTGTAAATTCATGTTAGACCAAAACCCAATGAGTGAAAGCAATATGATTCCTAAATATGGTACATTTATCTTAAATTACATGAAAAAATTCATACTGAAAACCTTTACATTTCATAGTTCCTCATAATTACAAGAGGAAATTAATTGTGGCAAAGAACCCTGTGAATGTGAACAATGCCTATAGCTCTCAACTTCTTAAATTGCATGGCAGAGTAGTTTCACACCACAGTGTTCTTTCAATGTCAAATAACCCATTGGAGAAAATTCCTAAAAATGCACAATCCAAGTGTTGTTAATGTTTTGTATGTGTTCAGTTATGGATAAGAACTCACTCTCAAACCTCTAAGAACATAAAGAACAGGGGCAAGGATCAAGCTGTCACAGTTTCCAAGAGCAGCAGTGTTGAGTGAGCTTTTTCATAAGGATACCTGAGCAAATGTCTACTCATCTGAGATCAGAAACTAATGACAAAAAAGTAATTCTGCCAAAGTCCAATTAAGTGAACTGAAGATTGTACTGGGGTTACTTCCAGGAGCATGGGCAAGCACAGACAGCTGGATCACCAAAAAGCCCATCCAGCCTGAGTGATTTGTGCACAACTGGTGGAGCTTGGTTAGTTGGGGAATTTCTTTTCATGTTTACTACTCCTATAACGTTGTGGAGTGGCTTTGGGAGTCTTGTAAATTTGAACATTCCAGAACATGTGTTTGCTTCTTGAGTTTCCTGCCTCCCTTGGAAAGGGACTATGTTAATTCAGAGAAAATTGCTCCACAACAGTCCCCCCCTTCCTCTGGCTCTTACTTTTAAAAAAATATTTTTAGATCATTAGGGTTGGATGGGTGTAGATATAAATGTGCATCAATGGCTAACATTGAGCCACTACAACAGACTGCTACTCACTTTCTCTCAGGGTCTTCATCATTGGTAGTGAATCTTTGTGGTGTACCATCCATTGTGAAAAGAAATTTCCTTCCATGAAGAATTGCAGCTGACAGTAGCAGTGATTTGTTAGGCACAAACTGAAATGTTAAGGCAACTTGAGAGGCACATTACATCCACCTAACAAAACAATAGCAATTGCTTCCCTACTGATGCCTGTGACCACTCTGGCCACAAATTTTGTTCCTAGCTTACAATATCAGGCACAAATTTTTTCATGTGGAGTGGACTGCAATTCCTATCTGAAAGCTGCTTGTTGTACTCAAAGAGTAGTTGTGCCACTGTTGCACCAGAGGCATATTCTGCCTGTCCTGTTGGTACTGGAGCACACAGTGTTTATAGCTGAGAAGCATCATTGGTGACAATTCTCCCTCACCAATCTACATTGCACCTGGCATCATGCAAGCCAGCTAGTATGGAGGAACCTTCCACTTTATTCCAGCATTATTTCTACATGTCCTGCAACCTGAGCATGTGATGTCTTGAGCAGTAGGGTCTTACCATCTAGTTTCACATGTAACCAACAGTAGTGGCAATAGCCTTCATGGTTTCTGGAACTTATATACACCTCCCTCTGCCTTCTATGTACTGGTGCCAAAGGCCTATGCCAACACACCTTGCTACTAATAACCCATTAAAAAAAAATCTTGCCCCAGTAGGTTTGTGAGGTAAGAGGACATACATTCCTCACTTACCTTGAGATGCTTGGAAGAGGCCTGTGGCAGTGTCCAGACTTGTGAGGGTATATTTGTATCTATCACTAATAGTCATGGGTACTATATGGTGTTTTTGCCAGTACATAAGGGATTTATTGGCTTACTTATGTGTGCTGTCATAATATCTAGATGTAGTTTTGATTGTGACAGGAAAAAATGTGATTGACACCTAAATAAAGATGTCTGAGGAAAAAACAATGCTTCCTGCCTTCATATATTTTCTTTCTGCAGTGTGCCTACTCCTGTGGCTGCTGCTGTTGCTGCTGCAATCCTCCAGTGAGAGATTACAGCTCCATTAGCCTTCCAAATTGAACTCTGTTCAATTTCCAGATCTTCTCTGCCAGAATGCAATGTTAGGGTCCGTGACTTGGTGGGTCTCTTCAGGAGAACAAATGCACGAGTATGGAGATGCAAAAATCAAGCAGAGTTTTATTAAACCAGCTTGCTGGGGCCGACCATCCTTCCAAGACATGCAGGTCTGGTTAGAGCGATCGACTCCGAGGCAATTTCAGGTAAAGATTATATAGGCTCCCACAACCATTACACAAAAGCCC